GCAGGAGATCGAGTTCCTGTACAAGCCGGGGAACGTGAGCCGGCCGCCCCCGGTGGTGGCCCCGCACCAGCCGCGCCTCGACTGGCAGATGTGGTTCGCGGCGCTGGGCCCGCACACCCACAGCCCCTGGTTCACCAGCCTGGTCCTCCGCCTGCTGCAGGGCCGAGAGCCGGGTGTGTGGGGGCGCGGTGGGCGGTGGGCGGGCTTGGGGCGGCGCGCCGAGCTGAGCCCCGCTCGCCCGCAGTGATCCGCCTCATCCAGACGGACCTGTCCAGGTACCCCTTCCACAAGCGGCCTCCCACTTACGTGCGGGCCCAGCGCTACAAGTACTGGTTTTCGCAGCCTGGGGACCAGGGGTAAGGCCCGGGTGGCGTGGGGGGGGTGGGGGGGTCCTGGCCCCCCGGCCCGCCCGCCCCGCCCCTCCGACAGACCCACCTGGCTGCTGCAGGTGGTGGCGGCGCCGGTGGGTGGAGGAATTCTTCCCACCCGTGTCCCTGGGCGACCCGACGCTGGACTCCCTGCTCAGACAGTTCGGCCTCCAGGTAGCAGCCCGCTGGCCAGCCCACAGGAGGTGACAGAGTGGGCTGGCCTGCAGGTGACACCCCCCCTTCTACCTGCCCCCACAGGACAAGAGCCCACCCCGGACCCGCAGCTCCAGCAACACCCTGACCCGGACCCTCCACTGGCTGCGGGAACAGCTGTCTCCCCTGGAGGCCCCCATGCTGCTCTGGGGGCTCCTGGCCACCGTGGGGGCCATTCGGGTCCTGCAGGCCCTGCTGGGCCCCCATTTCCCCAGGTCCACCCCTCTGGCCAGGGAGGAAAAGCACCGGCTGGCCCACAAGCAGGACTCGGGAGCTCCAGGCCAACAGGCTGCCCTGGCCCCCAACAGCGGCAGCTCCCGGCGGAAAAAGTAGCCGCGACGAGGGTGGGGCCCCCCGCCGCTAGCCCCCTCCCGCAGCAGGGCCCCAGCCTCTGCCCGGCCGGCCGCCAGGAGACGCAGGGCGCTGCCTCGGCCACGCTCCGGGGCCCCAGGCTGGGCCGCGACCTGCGGCGCCATGCCTGCCCTGAGGTCCTTCCCTGGTCGGTGGGAGCGGCGGCCGGCCCCGAAGCCATAAAGGGTCTTGGTGTGTGACCTGAGTCTGGTCTTCCCTTCCGCTGGAGATGCCCGAGAACGGCGAGCCCTCTCGCCTGCGGTGCTGGACACAGCCCTCAGTGCTGGCCAGCTGGCCACTGACCGGCTCAAGGGCGCCCTGCTTTCCCATCGCCGCGTGCCCGTCTGCGAAGCCTCAGTCCATATGGCCCGCTAGCCGCCACGGCCGCCCGCTTCCTGCCCTGCTAGCGTCTCCTCAGGAAGGCACTGAGGGTCAGCACCGGGTTTCGGGGAGGCCAGAGTGGCACAGGGTGGTCCCAGGGTGTGGGTGTGAGTTGGGTAGGGGGAGCCAGAGGCCCCCTGATTAGCGTGGGAGAGGGAGGGCAGCCCAGCATGCCAGCCCCTGGGAGAGGCCACTATGGAAGCAAAAGCCCAGCACCCGCCCCGGCCACAGGGCCAATGGCCTCTGGACCCGGCGGCGGTGGCCACGGCTGCTGTCTGACCCCTGAGTGTGCGGACACCCCAGGCAGGGAGAGGCCCTTGGGCACCCGGACCTGGCCAGTGGAAGGACACCACGGCGGGCCCTGGGCACTCCCACCTCAGACGGTGTCTGGGGGAACAGGCCCCCCCGTCCGCTGGGGCAGACCAAACCTGCTTTTCCACTTCCAAAAGAAGGGGGCAGATGGTGTCCCCAAGATTCAGAAAGCCATGATGCTCCCCCAGAGGAGCGGTCAGGCTGGGCACCCACCCTCGGGCTTTCTGATTTGTACTCGGCCCCCGACAAGGCTATCACTGAGGAGACAGCTGCACCCCCACCCCCACACGAGGTCCTGACTAGTGCTGGGGGGCACAGAGTCTGGCAGGCCTGCACCCACCCCCCTTCCCAAAGCCTGCCCCCTCCCACCAGGGTGCCCGCCCACATGCCCCCAAACACCTGAGGCGGCGTCCCTGCCCGAGGGCCAGGGGGTCTCGGTGGCCCAGCCTCCCCGCCCCCAGGGGCCACCCTGGAGTGTCCTGCACCTGGCAGCCCCCCGCCAGCAAGGCCCACCTGTGCCCCCCACCTCCCACGGCGCTCTGGGGGCTGGTCAGACGCGTCCTCATGGCTGTCCACCGCCCCAGGTCCACACCTCACGGCTCAGCTCTGTGGGGCCCAGCCCAGCGGGCGGGGGCTGCGTCTTTGCCAGAGGTCACCGGCGCAGAGAAGGCTCAGACAGCAGAGCTCAAGCACGGCTGAGGGCGGCTGCGCCCCAGCGCTGCGCCTGCCTGGCGGTGGGGACCGAGCGTCGGGAGCGCAGCAACGCTGCCCGCCACTAGGGGGCGGCTGGGGCCCGCGCGGGCCCTGGGGCTCAGGGCAAGTCTCTGACGCCCCGCATGGCTCCCACCCCCACGCTCACGGAACCCCAAGAAGCTGCGGGGCTCCGGGGGTCAGCTGCAGCGTGGACAGGCCGTCTCAGGCGGGAGGACCCCGGAGAGTCTCCATTCCAGGGCTCATGGAGCGCCAGAGACATCACCTCGGGAAGAAACATGCTCGTAATACCAATTTTTTAAAGAGATTTATTTGTGCAGAACTGGGGTGCGGGCCAGAGGTGCCGGGGCGGTGAGCGGCTTCACCAGAGACAGAGCGGGGCGCAGAGCAGGCAGATCCCCAAGCACGCTGCTGAGGGGGCAGCGGGCGGCTCAGGAGGGGTCTGCGGCGCCCCGCGGCAGCTCAGGGGTGGAGCTCGCTGCGTCCTGGCCCGCCGCGCCCCAGGCTGTCCGGTTTCTCTAGGCCGCCCTCGGTGGTGGTGCAGCAGCGGGGTGGAGCGCACGCGAGCCGCGGCCGCTTCGGCGCGAGTTCGACCCCCCGCCAGGGGTGGCCCAGGGCGCGGCTGACCCCTGCTGACCCCGCCTCTGCCCCTCTCTGCAGTGTGCTTCGTAGATCCGCCTGTTCTGCTCCCTGCTCTGTCTCTAGGGGGTCCTCTCAGTCCCCCACCTCCGGTCTGTACCCCAGTTCTGTATGCATAAATACAAATTTTTAAAAAAAAAGATCTGTTAATTTATGCACACTGGGGTACGGACCGGAGGTAGGGGCAGTGAGGGGACCCCCTAGAGACAGAGCAGGGAGCAGAACAGCCAGGTCCCCTGAAACCCACAGTTGTGGGGGCAGAAGGGGTCTGCTGTGCCCTGCGGGTCACTTCCTGGTCAGGGTTGCACTCAGACCACGGTGGCTGTGGACAGCCTCATAGGGCTTAGATTCACCCCTGCACCCCCCCCAGAGAAGACTCCAAAGACATTCTGAAGTAAAATAAAGATTGGTTTAACCTGCCGGTGCACCACCTTCAAGAGAGCCCTGGGTGGCCAGCACCAGCTGGCCAAGGCAGATCGCCCCAAGGAAGGACGGGGGCGTGGCCACTGGGCCAGGCGGGTCAGGGGCTCCTGCCCAGCTGCTCTTGGGGTCTCCATAGTCTTCGTGGCCCCTCCCGAGGGGCTCGGCGGCCCACGGGTGAGGTGGCCCCGGCTTGCAGCCCCAACAGCCTGGTGACCAGCCCCAGGCCCCGCCCCGTTGTTATGTGGGGACACTGGCTTGATTCAAGAGAAACACGGCTGAGCAGAAGCATCCGGAAGGCCTGAGCCTGCTGCGGACCCCACGGACAGCAGTGGGGGCTGAGCCGCCTTCTTGGGCCGGGCTCGCTGGGGGGGCCTGCCAGTAGGGTCCCCCTGGGGCGGGGCTCCCTCGGGATGTGGCCGTGGGTGCCCCGAGGGGCCACTGCCCCTCACAGGTGCTTTGTGAGCGCTCCAGTCCTCCTGTTCGTGCTTAGGGGAGACGGCGGACTTGGGGACCACACCCTGAGGCAGTGTGGTGAGCAGGAGACCCCAGATTTCACGCGGGGTCCACGGCGGCCTCCCTCGCCCTCAGCCAAACACACCCCACGGCTGCTGCAAGGGGTTTATTGCGGCCCGCACAGTGACCGCGGGGCAGGCGGCCAGCGGGGCGGCCGGAGTGAGCTCAGGCCGGCGGGCCGGGGCGCGTCACCAGCTCAGGACGCCGGGGCAGTACTTG